TCTCCCTCTGTGATGAACAGCTCTGTGTAAACAGTCTTGAGATCTGTGTCGTTTTCGTTGTTGCCCTCAAAAATACATTTAGCTTTCTTCTTCATATGGTTTTTGTGAGTTTTCAAGAAGTTTTGCAGCTCTATAATTAAAAACAAATAAATAAGATGGACCAAAAAAAGCATTAAACAAACTTGACAAATATTTTTTCATATCAGCATTATCATCATTATTAACGGATGCAGACAGATTAAATTCATACAGCTGAAAACAGCAGAGACCATCCATCCCTAAGAGCTTGGTTTTAATTTTAACATTTCTGAATATGTTTTTATGTTCTTTCCAGATCACAATCATTGGATTGATTCAGATCATCTTTAGGACATACTGACTAATACTGATAAATGGTTTCCACATCATCTAGCACATAAAACTGTTTGTGAGACTGTATTTACAACATCTTTTGACCTGCTTAAATCAACCTTTGCATGTGTGATTGTAATCATGGATTGATGATACTGAATCACTTTGGTGACAGTGTGTCACACAATAAGATGTTTAATTAAGGCTTTTAGACTATTGTGAACTGGATTTCACTGGAGAAACACTCTGTTCTCATCTATATATTTGTATAAGATCTGCCGCTGATGTGACTGGCCCTGTAATTGCTGCTTGCAGTTATATTTTCTCTTGTTTCCATTTACAGGCAGTGATTGTTATTTACCACAGATCTGTTGTGAATTACCTCCAGCAGGGACAGATGTCTTCATATTGCCCTCAGCCTGAGCTGTGTGTGTGTGAGAGAATTACACACAGCAATGCAAAAAGTCACACATGTATTTAATCATGTTACAGTCACAGTGAATGAAATGTTACCTTGCTTATATTCATTCTCCAACTCTTCAGCCAGATCATTCTGCTTCATCTTTCTCAGGATGTCCACCATGGTCTTCACAGCTTCTTCTGGTCCAAAACATGCCACCATCTTTTCCACTGTGTCGAACATATCTGCCTTTTCCATTTCAGACTTTGATATACACTTATGATATTTATTCATTAAGCGCCAGTGAAACTCCTTCAGTCCAGCTTCTACCAATTGCTTCAGTGAATCCACGAGCAGCTCTTTAAGAGACGCCATCGTCCTTCACCGACTCACAGCTGCAGGACAAGAAGAGAAGGATCAGAAGTAGTTGCACTCTTAACATGTGGACCTAAGTGTTTAAATGTTATTTGGATTATGAAGCTGTGTGCGGAGACATGAATCATCAGAGTTGTGTAAAGCAAATTTCCTATAATTAATTTAAATATTGAAAAAATTGCTTTGAGTTTTATGGAAAAAAAATTTACCCAGTGCTGTACACAATCTGATGTACACAATGGGCCTCATTTATCAATCTAACGTAGAAACGAGCACAGATCCGTGCGCACAAATCAACTTACGACACGAAACATTCGTATGCCGCCAATCTCATCGTACGAATGATCGCACGTTGATAAATGTGGCGGCAGAAAACAATCGTCATTTGAATATCACGCCCCTAAAAACACCCTGGTTTAGAAGCCTCGCCCCAAGAGTTTACAACACCGAGAAATGAAACCCGGCCAAAAAGAGGAAGTAATCTCGTCAAAGAGAAACTGATTACTCCAAAAAGACCCGTTAACCTTGTAATTGCAAACAATTAGGCTACATTCATTTATATATATATATATATGTACTGTATATTAAAATACTGGTAAATATAAACAGCCTATTTAGTTCCCCTCACTCTAAAACAAATATTTTAAATGTAATGGTATTCAGAACAGAACAAGAATGAAAAATAAGTAGTTATAAAATTAAATATTAAACTATAAAATAAAACACAAATTAGGCTATAGTGGCATTCATTATAAACCGCATACAAATGTCAAGCAAAACTAAAACGGCATTGGGCTCACGAGCCTGTCTCATAACACAAGAATCAAAATGTTTCAATTTTTGCCACATTTGTAACATTAGTTTGCATAACTATTATTCATTATGTAGCCTAAATATGACTTTATACTTCTTCTAATATCCGTGTAAAATCCTTCAAATGCGCAAAAATGTTTGTTTGGGTGCTGCACGCTGATTTTACAGCGGGCCTTTTAAAATAAACAATGTAACTTTTATGTTTGGTTGACTGCATTTTAGTTTGATGATGAATGGCTGAAATTTCAGGCAACGGTAGAACTAAATCAAATAAAGATATAAAGAAAATAAATAAAATGTGAGTGTCACAAAAATTAGCGTAGCCTATACTTGTTGCACAGTGTTTTTTTCCCCCTTTTGTTAATCTGTTAATTATATTATAGCTATTATATATTTTGTGTGATCCTATTTATTTTATTCCTTTTATAGAGTTCATTTCTGTTTTTTTCCTTTCACAGAAGCGCTGCAGGTGCATGATGCGATGATTGAATCCTCATGGTCTTGTTTACGCTGCTATTCACGCATATAAAGCTCAAGCCCTGTACAAAACAAAACAAAAAAAATAAATAAAAAGACATTCTAATCTTACAGGCTATCGATCGACTAATGAGCTTCGTTTGACGGTCAGGAAATTAAAAATGAACAAAATGCTGTAATTCTACAATTCTCCACTAGATGTATATGCTGCGCGTATACTGTAAGTTCAGGCTAAAAAAAACTTGCGTACACGAGCTGAGAGCAGACGTGAGATTTGATCGTAGCCACCGCTCACATCCATATTGATAAATTCCAAATTTTGCGTTGAAACGACCGTACGCCCAATTTTACGCCCAAAAAATGAGGCCCACTGTCTCAAAGGTGTTTGATACTGTAAGTGCAGAATCAATACAGTACATGACATTAAATCTATTTTATTTACCTACCATGAATAATGATAATGTAGATGTTTCTTGTTTCTCCACTGAACCGCTGCGTCTTGAACTGAAGTTCTGAAACTCTTTTCAATTCTGCATTTCTATAGGACTCTGGATGGGGATGGTTTTCTTCAGAGCTTAAACCTGTTAAACGAGGACAATTTCAGAAAACGAATGAAACCAGTTTTTCAACAGACTGAAGAAATGAGAGTAAAACCATGTGGAGAATCACTCAGGGTTGCTGCAGGATTTTTAAGCTCAAATTTAAGACTTTTTAAGACCTTTTTTAAGACCTGAACAAATCAAATTAATACCATATGAGCGGGGTAGGGCAATGTCTATGGTAAACTATTCAACTGTAAAATGACGGTCAAAAGCACGAAGTTTTCACAAAAACAAAACGTTTTATAAAATGATACAGTTCCCATTTCAGCCTTTTAAGAAAATGGATGACTCAAAAGTATTAATTATTCTATTAATTTAAACAATTATTATCAATAACTTACTATAGTAATTAAATAACATGCAAACACATTTTACTGTTTAGATTTTTATAACGAATTATCTTCTTATCGATCCACCAGTTCACATTTACAGCTCTGTGTGCTTGCAGGGTAAAAACATGGGTCGAGTTTCACATTAGTCTGAACAAAAAAAACAACCCAATGTTCCTGCAACACCAGAGGCTGCAGTTTAGGACCGCATTTCTAGGACCAGCGCCAACTAGCCAATTCTATTCAAACAGAGGAGACCTGATTCAAACATCAAACAAACTGATGCAAAGACTAGATCTATGAAAACTATAAATTTTTTATCTTTCTATTTTATTTTTAATGTAAGAGCTAGTGTGAACTTCAGTGTTGAGGGGGTGTCAGCAATCTCCATTTAGCCTATTTAGCTGTGCA